TGTGTGTGTGTGTGTCCGCAGCAACTTGTCCGCAACTTTCAACTCGGGAACCACAAAAGCTAGGATACTGAAAATTTAAGGGAACGTTCCCCATCTACGTGTGACCCCGCAAAATTAAATTCAGCTCCCCCGTACCCGCGGGTAACACGTATGGCCTATGGAAGTTTTTTACGGGTAAATTAATATCTCGGGAACCACGGAGTCCAGGAGACTGAAATTTTAGGGTAATGACCCCCTGCCCACGCTCATCCTTCCCTATTCAAATTCAGCGTCCTCGCCCTCTCGAGTACCATCTATGGCCTCGTGAAAATTTTGGCGGGTAAACTATTAACTCGGGAATCGCGGAAAGATATTCACCCTTCAAGGTCCCGAATTCAGCTTTCATGCGCTGTTGCATGAAATTTTTAACTATTTTCCAATGTTTGAAGTGTTTTTGCATAGACTAAAGTACAAAGCAGTGAAAATCATTAATAGGCAATCGTTCGACGGGATGAATTGCACAAAACGCATGAGCGCACCGGCTAGTCTGATGCGCGTTGCTATTTATTTGAGGATTGCTTTTCAGAAATGACAAAGATGAATGTTGGTTCGTTCGCACTTTCATCAGATGGCAAGTATTTAGCTGTTTTGGCCCGAAATGAAGTGCATATTGCCACCGCTACGGTTCGTTGTATCGTTTTTTTGATGAAATGATGGCAGGGTAGAAGAGAATTTCATGGCCCTGTTCTGCACCAGTGCACCTACAGCTTGTTAATTCTTTGTCCAGTTTAATGGACTTTTTATTCAGTGCACTAAATAAAACAAATATTACAAATTTGCAGTGTAGTACTGATGCTACAGAGCCTGAAAACTATCAGCTTTTTGAGTCACAAAACATTGCTGAACAGAAATTAGCACGAATTTACCACGGGAAATGTGTGAGTGTTCTACCAGATTTATTCCTTCTGCCCGAATCTATTGCCTGTTTTGCTGTGTAATGTGTACTGCATTTTTGATTTTTCACTTAAAAATAGCACGAGAAAAGGGAAGTGTACAGTTTGAACAGTAAAATTGTATAACAAAAAAATACTTTGAAAAAATAAGAGCAGATTGTACTAAGCCATGAAATCGTGAAAGGAGTCAGAAAATATGCTTGATTTAAAAAATAAAAAAAAAACATTACGTCTGGATGATGGTTAATAAAAAATTAAGAAAAAAACCGGATAGTTAAAATATGAAGAATTTTATAATTAGTAATCGCTTTTAAAAGTTAGGAATCGATATACATGCAGTGTGGATGTCCTGGTATAAAATGTGCATAGAAATACTGAAAATAGTTAAAGTTTTCTCGATTTCCAAAAGAATATTTGAGAATTTATTCTGTGGTGGGTGTTTCTGTGAGAACAGTAACATTGCTTTTTTGTTTTAAAACGAAATTTTTAGTATTTTTTTAAAATATATTTTTTATAATTGCAGTCGATGGAATATATTGGTGTGCTAGTAGCTCCAACTTCTATTGCATCCATACAGTTCTCTCCGCACGACTCAACGAGCATCTATGCTATCGGAGGTAATTTTTACCAAAAATGCCAAGACAGTCGGTGTGAGTATCCCATATTAGTGATATTACTGGGACAGATATGCCAGGATTTCTTTAACAATCAGCAAATTATTACTCAGCAAAATGATCCTAATCCTTCGTTTTTTGCTAATTTCTTTTATGCTCGATGGGAATTGATTTGTGCTGTTTCAGAGAATGGGCATGTGTTTATTTGGGATATTCGGCAGCCAAAGCGGCAAGAAACATTTTATGATGAAGGAGCCGTAAAAGGCACTGTGATACGAATAAGTCAGAATGGGCACTATATTGCTTGCGGGTAAGTGAATGCATTTTGCATTTCAACGACAGTTGTGTGGCGGAACGGATTAGTGGCAGATATGAGTATGGAATGAAGCCGGCCGAACCCTCCTGTCTTT